TCAGCGCCACACAGTCACCAAGCAACACATCCGATGTTAGTCTGTAGCACGGCAACAGGTCCCAGCATTACCTGCTCTGTAACCTGCACTCCTGCTCTGTCCTGATATCCCGATAATCGCGTATGAATGGATACGGCTTCCCGTGCTGCACTCATGGTCCAAGACAGGTGAAAGCCTCGTGCTGCCGCAGGTGAGCCAGTCTGCTGCAGGAGCGTGGGTCAAGATGTCCCCGTTATTCATGGACTCCGGGTCCGGGTCCGAGTCCGCCAGCCCCAGCAGTACTGCAGGATCGGTAAGTTCCTCTTTCTCGTCTCTTGACTCGATCATCAAATCCCTGTATTCAGGTCATCCTATGGACCTTTTCACGCTGTTGATGCTAAGAGTAACCTTATGTGATGTAAAATTCACACAGATACTGGTTATAATAATGGGCTACATCAGGTATAACACCCATTTACTGTTTATATTGAGTCAGATCCTCTTCTGATTAATGAACCTCTGGCTTTTTTCCTTTTTACACTGTAAATAAAATGATATATTATTAAAGCTAAAGTTATAATTATTATCATTATTGTATAGTAATATACAGCAATATATAGTAATATATAGCATTAATTATTAGTCATGCTAGTTATAATCATCACCCACTGCCTCTAAAACCACTATTTATCAACTCAGATCCACTTTAAGCCCTCCAAACAGATCTGTTTGTAAAATAAGTGATTTATTTAAATTTCATTTAAATTATTAGTACCTTAATTATCATTATTGTTATTAGTTTTTAAACTGAGTATTGGTCTTCCACCTCTGGTGCCCTGAACCCTCAGTTCATGTTCGGCTCAGGTTATTTACTGCAGTTATCGTGTGTGTGTGTTTGCAAAGTATACACAGATTGTATATACTGCCTGTAGAACAGTCAGCAACACCTGTGCTGAGAGAAAATTGGACTCATGAAGTGAATGGAAGGTGTAATCTAATAAAGACCTGAATTATTGTGTGCAATAAAAAGAAGCTTCCTTATTATTTGTCATATGGTTTGTCAGCCCTCGCCTTTGCTTCGCATCACGCGCTGCAGTTCACGTATTATTGACCCGCTTTATTTTGAAGGGCCACACGCACTGTCTCATGTGATTGGTTTGTCTCATGACCTTGTAAGTCATGTTATACCTTTAAAACAAAAATGCGGTATCGAAATGAAATCGATACACGCCCTTTAAAAAGAAGAAAGCCAAAGTCAAAATACAAGTGCATACTTGAACGCCCACTGTGTCACTGTGCGGTCTAATTAACCTCAGATATTTCGCCTTAATTCTGTCGTTGTTTTGGCAGGAGAGAGAAAGAGGGGGACAACAGATGGGACCCAGAGGGACAAAAAGACGGGAGAAGAACAGGGATGCGGCGAGGAAGAGCCGCAGAAAACAGACAGAGAGAGCAGATGAACTTCATGAGGTCTGACTCCTTTCCCCCTCTGCTTCCTTCATTGTCATCCTCTGACTCTGTCACTTTCTGTCTCCTTTTCACACACAGCCTGTTTGATGAGCAGTGTGTGTGCGTGTGCACGCGCGTGCGTATTGTGTAATCTGGCAGCATGCTTGCAGGCGTTTCTTGTAAATAGCCTGCTTTAGGAGAAGGACTTTCACTCCCTCTGCTTTGCCCTCCCTATCAGCCCTCCCTTTCCTGTCTGCCATACACACACACATATACACACGCACACACACAGACGCATTTGTTTTCAGTCTGTACTTGCCTGTCTTTTTTTCCCCCTGGGGCGAGTGCAAATTCCACAGGTCAGGGTACTCATCCACACACACGGACACGCTTCCCAGAGCACTCAGTCAGATTTCTAAAGTATCTTTGATGACCGCGTGCTTACACAGAAGCCTAACAGCACGTAGCCCTGAAAACTGTTTCAAGGTCATACATGCATTACAATTATGACAACTATTAGAAGGGTTATTGTAAAAATGTGGCGTTCAAGATTTATTATTGAGATTTGAAACCCATCCATTGAAGCAGAAAGTATTCAGGTGGCGGTGTTCTCTAAAATGCTGAAATAATGTTAGCTACTAGCTACATGAAGAGCTAAATGGAACTAAGTTATAGTGCATCGTCATATGCTGGTGATTTTGATAAGCAGTGGCACACAGTTGTACACACAGTTAATCTGGTGATGTGCATCTTTAAGCACGGTGGGAATGTCGTATCTTAGCATGCTTCCTGTGTTGCGTTCACTTCACTGGTCACCTGCTTTGGTTGTTTGTGAGACCTTTAATAGGTTCCTCTTGTCTTATCTTGCTAAACTTTGCACTTCTGTATTCCAGCCGGATTACTTGGCTCATAGTTTTAAAATTTCTCCCGTCACATGAGATCTGCAGTTTCGTTTGATAATTTGATACATTTGATAATTATGCTTCGTATGTATATATATTTCTGTACAATTTTCTTTAGCCTAGGTCAATTTTTTTTCTAATACTATCTTAAAAAAGTTGCCATTTCCAATTCCAAAAAAGTATGAGTGGACATGAGGATGAGCCCAAGCCACAGAGTCCTATTTAACCAACAGGTTGAGTAGTACAAATTCAGGTTTCTGTGCAGTAAAAAGAAGCATTTGTTCTCCTGTCATGTCACTAATCTGATTCGTCCGTCAGTTCACGCTCATAAAATGTGTTTAATTACTCTCATTCTGACAAAGAGAAAACAAAACCACCGGTTTGCTGTGCTGCACCCGAGCTCGTGCTCTTTTACTACCACTAAGCTCTATTTTCCTTCTAGATTACATCCTACCTGTTGTAACCTGCTCAATATGTCTGCGTGTACCAAATTTATGAATGGGTGTGAATGTGTGTGCGTGTCTTTTTTGTGTCGGGAACTTGCACTTTCGCTTTCCCTCTTTCCTTCTCTTTCAGTTCTGCTGCGTGTGTGTGTGTATGCTTCACTTGAAGTTCTGGGAAGTGTCGTTGCCACAAGCCACTCGAACTTGTTAAAAACTCAAAGTTGTGTCAGCAGCTTACAATTCAATGGGACAGAGACCGTGACTCACAACTGCATAGCACAGCTCTGACTCTTCTTCAGGGCAACTGTCAAGTTTACACTTTAATGTTAAAAGTAGACGAATGTTAGCTGTGCTGAAGTGACGGCTTATTAGAGTAGATTTGAACGGGTCACAGTTCAAAATAATCCTTAGTTAAATCTTAAACTGGTACGCTGGTGTAGCCGCTGGTTTCACACATTCCTTTAAAAGCTCTTCTTTCATGTAGAAGTTAAAGTGGGATTTGGCAGCTGTGGGAACCTTACTGCAGGGTGAAAATAGTCACTTAGAGACAAGCTGCATATTATTTTTGAACTCAACAGTAGATTTTGTGTGTGTGTGTGTGCAGGCTCTGCCACAAAACTACTAACTAACCACTGTAACTTGCACCACAATGACTAGTATTTTCATGCAACCTTCACAATTTTGCAATATATATCTTGATGCATTCTCAATTATCCAGGAAAATAAATCTCCAAAAGTTGATTCTGTTCATCTGGACGTAGCGTTCAGTCTCGACTGACTGAAGAAGTCACTTGGATAAGTGACGAAATGTTTCTCCCAGAAAACGCTACGTCCAGATGAACAGAATCAACTTTTGGAGATTTGCAATATATAGATAAAAAAATAATATGATTAGCAGCAAATCATGTGTAGATTCAAGTACTGCAAGTAAGATTTCCATTTTATCAAATGTCCCTTGCTGAAAAGTTCTTAACTTTGAAAACAGTTTATCATCTTCTTCTCCTGTTCTCTGTTCACTCATATCTTTGAGGGTGTTGTATGCTGACCTCCTTTTTCTTCTGTTCTTAGGATTTTTTTTTGGAAACTACGCAGATATCTCCATGCTGTCAGCTGAAAGCAGGCTGCAAATGAAATCATTAGTCATTATGCATTAGTCAAATCTGCCAATCACACTTAACTACTCTGCACTTTACTGAATGAGCTGGAATGCTGCTCCGGATTGTTCCGGCCCACTTTAGGCATCGCCTTAAGGCGAAATTGCCTTTCGTCAGCGTTATCTCCCTGTGTTTGCTTTGGTTAGTCGGAGATGGCCTCTAGTTTTTATGGAAGACGCTGAGTTGTCTGTGGCAGTAGTGAAATTTGGGAAGAAGTGTGACCTCAGCTAAAAACAAAGAACCTTTGCCTTCATCGTCAAGAAGTTGTGCCTTTTAACGTGTGTTGGTTTCAGCGATAAGGTACAACTTTTACTTTGAAGGTCTTTGTTCTTCTTTGCTTCTTGTTTACGCCACACTGTTTCAAGTTTATCAGCCGGCTGGTGGTTAGCTAGCGAGTGTTTGCAGGAGTTGGTGCCTTCCATGCAAACTACCGGCGACTCTGCTAGCAGCCAAAGCCGAAGAGGTGGTCGTGGAATATACATTTATTATCCCCCCATAGTGAACGGGGGTTACCGAGGGTCATCAGCTGATCTCTAGGCCTAACTTACTGAGGTCTGACTCAGCTTTCTTCTTATTGTCTGCTCTTTGCAGTCAAAAACAGTCAAAAACAGTGAATTTTATTGTTAAAGACTGAGTTCACTAGTTGTATGTATTTGAAACTATGGCCACCAATGTAACAGTATGTATATATGACCACTAAAAAAAGGAAGAGCATCTCGAAAGTGCTTTAAGTTTACCGCTAAATGTAAAGAAAACCGTTGTAAATGCTCCAAAAAGGCAGGTTTATTGAGAAAGCTTTTTGCCACATTTCAATTCTAAATTTTCCTAATTAGTCCCATGCATTAGTCTGCACTTATCAGCAAGGAATCACCTTTTGTTCTCTCTCCACCGCCTACCCACTCGTTTCATGCTGATCTTGCAGCGCTGTCACTTAGGAGCAATATTTCAGTTCTCCTTTGGGGTTCTGGCGTTGGCCACACTTCATCCGCTTTATGCCTCTTGTGCTTTCTATTGCTG